GGAGAATGCACACACACCTTGAGTACACAAACACTGACTATCAGGAATGGAAATAATTCTGTTATGATATCCTAGTAACAATCTGACTCTTTATATTAAGACAACAATAGCAAGAACAACATCAAAGTGGTATTCTCTGGCTTAAACATTTTTAACTCATACAAAGTCAACAAGCTGTGTAAACCAAGCCCTGTTGCTAGCAAATCCAATTTCTTTCCCATCTGACCTAACGGTGTCCTCTCACACACATGAGCACCCTCAGGTAGATTGGGATGTCTGTTTTCCTGCCAGTTGCTGAAATTTATCTTCAAAGTTCATCATTATCCTTTGGAATTTTTCAAGCAGATCACATGATACTCAGAAAGTGTCTCCAGAACCACAGGTAAAATTAAAAGAATTCCTTGTCTTACAAGGCCTAGTGCCTCTCCTGCTGTCCCCTGTACAAACAAGTGTCAATGTTGTCATGACATGACTTTTTAAATATAAATCACATCAACAAAAATATTGATAGTTTTATGAAAGTTGTGATTTTGTTAGATGTGAACTGGCTGGACTCATGCAAGGTTGTTAGGGCTGACTTCTGTGGGGACAGACTGGGTGTCTCAAGAATAGACAAAGCTTCCATCCTCCAGAGAACTCCATCTTATGGCTGCCCTGACACACTCCAGTCGCACAAGATTTCTAGGAAAACATTCCTGACCTGTACAGGATTGCTGAGAGAGTATAAATCTGTCTACAAACATTTCAGAGCAATCCATATAGGGGTTGAGAATAATCAATTGGAGACAATGTAATGTTAAAGTAAATACAGAGGGACACAGTCCAATCTTACATCAAGTTCATGTGATCAATACCATTGCTAAATGTTTGTCTCGAGACAGCAAAAAGGGAGAGCAAAGATAAATTAGTTATGCAGAGCCCGGGGAGTAAGTACAGAGGGGCCAGCAAGAGTGTTTACAGACTCTGCTCAGAGTTTATTCCTCTCATTAACCACATACAAGGCCCAGGAGACCATCTGTGATGGCAGTTAGAACCCTAGAATCTATGTCAGTTAGTCCCTAGAATCTATGTCACTCTCCTGGGAATCCTACAGAAAAGGAAAAGACACAATTCAAAAGTACTGTCTATCAAGATGAAGACAGTTTATCTTGTAAGAAAATGAATTCCTCCATTGGAAAACTAGGACCTGACAACCTTGTCTCATTGTGACGTAATTCCAAGGTTCTTCATGCCATTGTTTACCTTAGTTCTTCACTTAGGGATGGACCTGAGAGGTTTCCTCCAATACTACTAATGTCTAGTTTCTGCATCAATATTATGAAGATTCCATAGGTCCAGGTTTGATGGCCTGTCTGGAAGACTCCATCTCACAGTGACATCCTGGTCCTTTACATCTTACAGTCTTTCTGTCCCTTCCTGGATTTCCGCTGGGCTTTAGGTGTAGGGTTTGTGTTGAAGATGTATCCAGTGTGGTTGGGCATCCCAGGGTCGCTTGTTCTCTGCATGTTTATCTGTTGTAGATCTGTGTATACTCTAAGTCTACAGTTTAAATACTTTGATAAAGGTGAGAGGTTATGAGGATACATTCTTTGAAAGACCCCCGTGGAGGTACTTTCGTAGAAGGAGACCCGTACCCAAGAATCAGTGAGACCACGAACTTGGATGCAAATAGCAAGAGGCTTTATTGGATACACGGGTACCCGGGGCGACTTAGCTTCTGTGAGG